AGAGAGAGAACCAACTTAAGAGTGAGAATAGGGGTGCAATGAATCTAACACCTTAGAGTTAGCAAGAAATAAAGAATTCTGACATCCCCATTATCTCATAGAAGAAGGTTTTAAGATAGAGGAACTAATTTTAAAGCGACAGAAACTATTATCAGTACCTTATACCTTGTATGGGGATCCTCCAAGAGTAACACCAAACAGTCCACTCCCATATATTGCCACTCATCAGAAGACCTAGAGAGATTACAAAGACAATCCAAAACCTCCTTGGTCTCTGCAATGGCGCTTCTGCCTACCTTACTGTAACATAAAACCCTAATAAGCCCCACACCAGAAGGAGAATTCTGGTTAGGCAACCCACCCCAAATAGTACAAAGCTCTTTGAGGAAACCCTTCTCACAAATGTGTCTCAGGAGCCTCCCTTTATAAGCAAAGCAACTGAGCAAGTGAACAGACCAGCATTGAAGCTGGCTAGCCCACTCCTCGGCCTTTCGATCCTCCATCTCTTCTCCACCCATTCCTCTTGTTAAAAGATCACAATGGTATCTCACTCGCTTTTCTTTGATCCTCCTAAATTCGTCGTAGACAATGCCTAAACTGGTTCTGGACAAATTAATGGCAAGCCCTACTATCTCCGCATCGGCTGAAACTGCACCGAAGGTCTTATCGTAGCTTGCAAGGTGCCCGAGAGCTCTAATGGCTACTCTCTGCTCAACCCAACTCATCTTTCCCCTTAAAAGCTCCATTAATGGTGGTATAACCCCTTCTCGTACTGCTTCCTCTGCAAATTCTTCTTTATTCATGGTGTAAGAACCTATTATATGAGCTGCATAGTATGGTATGTATATGTTCTGGTCTCTTAACAGCCATTGGTCATCTTTGAGAGCTCTGTATATGAGGACTGCCATGCACTTGAATATGCCAAGCCTTGGGAACTCAGGGTCATCGGGTTGGGTCATGGCTAGGTTCCATAGAGCACTGAGCACCAGCACACTCTCATGGCGATCTTTGAAGGCCATTTCCCTAAAGTATGAGGTTAGTCTTGCTCTTCTTTTTGATGTGTTTTTCTCTTTCATGGTGCAGAAGAAGCATGGAGAAGACTCACAGGGTTTGGAGCGCATCTCAGTGGATTTACAGATTGTTCTCTTGGCCATAACCTCAAAATTCACGAAGGAAATGGGAAAGGCTTTCTATATAAACTTCCATCCTTTTAGGGTTGGAGAAGCCCTAGATTTTTGTGGGTGGTTAGTGGGATGAAAGATCGACACCTAGCGGCGCATGAAGAGAGAGAACTCATCTGATTTTCTATTCATTTATTTGTTTCCTTCCTCTTTTAGAGAGAAAGAGATCCAGTGAATCTTTCTAGAAGGAGATCTATTTTTTTTACTGAGAGAGTTGGCTGTGAACAATAGTAGCAATGGACCAGTTGGCCCAGCCCGGTTAACCCAGACCTAAAAACTCAGGGACTAGCATACAAAATGTGGCTTGAGGGTCAGGCTTAAGCGAGGCAACCACGCTTGGAGGATAGGACCAGGCCAATTCTAGGCTAAAGCTTGTCCAGCTCGGCCCAGCCCTAATATGGCTTGGGGGAGAGTAGGTTATGTCCTCTTTGGCCCGATCTCGACCGAGCCGGGGCTTGGGCCGGTGGGCTAGGGCCTGCCCCCCCTAGCTGTGAAGTGGGAGTGAAGTGCAATAGGGGTAATGATTTAGTGCGCTGCATGGCTGTACTTTGTTGAATTTCTTTACAGATTCCAAAGGATTGAAAGAGAATATGAGGATCACACACTCTCCCTCTTTAAAAAACACCAAGTAACCATTTCTTTGGTTGGTATCAGAGGTATATTTCCAAGGCAGTGGGCGACTTGTGTACCTTTTTGTCTTTTTTATGCTTTTTCAGGACCAATAACAAGATTCTTGTGATGGTAAAAGGCCCTAAACTTTTAGCAAATTGACAGATCAACTGCCTGAGAACTGCCTATGTTCATGAAAAATGAGGGCTGTGATTTTTAATGAAATTCCCAATCAATTATATTCATATTCAGGAGATCAGTAATCCAGAAGGATTCACAGTGGTTTTGTACATCAATTCCCAATCAATCATATTCATATTCAGGAGATTAGTAATCGAGAAGGAAAACACAGTGGTTTTGTATACCGATACATCCACGCCGATATACTGGACCAAGTCTAGGCTCAGCTTAAGCTGGCTGCAATATCACATGGATCTGACTTGCCGGTTCTTAAAGTTGTACCTGAATGTCGACCTGGATCCGGTCGATCCACCTGCTATGCATAAAGAACTTACGATTTTGTAGCCCACAATTTACCAAGATTTAACATATGAGCTAGTTATTCTTCTTAGCAAAATATAGACGGTGTGGATTGCAATAAGGTTGCAACCTTAAACAATCAAATTAAGGTGTATCTTCAACTTTTATCACGAGATACACTTTTGGTGTCAAAATTTTTTTGGATGATGCGAGAATCTATTTCTGTCTCCAATTATAGGATTTTAAACTCAAAAAATAGTTCAACTCAAGTAACTACATAAATATATGAAAATCTTGAAAATGAACGGTCTGAATAATTTATTATAAGATGTACTATTTTTAGTACTTAAAATCTCTGTTTTTTTATCATCCCACTCAATTTGAGAGGATCAATTAGATGTTTTTCCAACATCAAAACAACATTTTTCCAAAGATTTTAGTGGTGCACCTTCATTCTACATTTTAAATTGTCAAGGTTATTAAACTTTTCTCCAAGCATATATTGCCATGAGTCATGATATACAACCCAAAGAAATGATTTGACATATACACCATGAAGAAGACGTTCAGGGTGTTTTGGTCCATTGAAGATGAAACCGACTTCCTTTAACTTACTCTCTCACTCTCTCTCTCAAGTTACAGGGCACTCCATTGGTGGTGGTCCTGCCTGAAGGATTTCTAAATTTGCGGCTTTAACATAAATCGTACCATACACAAAACTAATTGATAATTGGAGTTAGGGTCTCGAGCATATGGCTTTTTATTTAAAAATTAAACACTGGGATGAGGATAATGATGATGCATGAAAAGGATGTAATTTCCTATGTGCTCATGCTCATGATGACTAGGATTATGTTCAGTTGCATCCACGACATTTGTCCCTTTCTTGGGTCCTTTGTATCTTCCCTTTACTGAATTCTTTTGTTTATGAACTAATCAAAACATAGAAAAAGGGCCATAAAGAGGGGTGCGTAACTCTATTCAACGTAGCCCTCTCTTGTTTTTTAGGGAAAGGTTCCTATACTTCCCCTTCCCCTATAGCATATAAGATATGTGCTTCCCCTGCCGTCCAATTTACAAGTGAGCCACCTGTTGTTTGATCCAGATATAACGCTTTTAGAGTATTTTATTCTTAATTTTCTTCTACAAATTATTTTTTTATAAAATTTGGTATGTATCATCTTCTCAATGGGGCATACCTTAAATAATATTAAAAATAATTTTTTGATAAAATACAATGAATCAAATACCTTTTAAAAATTTCAAGCATATTTTAGTCATTTTATTTTATTAATAATATTTTTATAAGTGTGAGTTTAAGAGAGGAGTAGACGGCTAAAATTTGGTGTCAAAATAATTTATATAAAAAATTAAAAATAAAATCGTGTAGAGATGTGACATTGTGATTGGGACCATCTCAGTTGTCCATTTAGAATGGACGGTTGGATAAAGGGAAACATATAAGTTTTATGCCATGCGGGAAGCATAGAAAACTTGTCCTTTTATTTATGGCTAATGCAAAGTGAGATAAAAAGTCACCATGTTTATAGAGAAGCCAATGAGGAGGCCGATTCAATCGTTGAGATGGCGTATCCTTACCTATTATTTCTGATGATGTAATTGTTTCTGTGTAATCCTCTCTTTTTAATAAATCTTTGAACATTTGTCCCAAAAAAATGAAAGAGATAAAAAGATAGGCTATAAAATTAGGGTTTGATAGGTAAAAGATAGTTGTAATAGCAAACATTTTGTTGCGAGTTATCACCGACTCTCGCACATGCCGAAGGGGTTGTACAGGCAGAAGTGGTGAAAATCACAAAAGATCCAACACTTTGTCTTGAAGTGCTAATTTGTAGATATCGTATCTAGTAGGTTCTTTTGTCTATGAGCTGGTAAGATTAGGTTTTAGGTTGATTTGGTTCATTCCTATATATTATAGTCTACATAAAATAAGTGTTACAGGTAGTTTTTGGCTTTTTCCTGTTATTTTAGTATAGATAAAACAAATTAATTATAAAATAAATGAATTATATGGGATATCACACAATAGTTATCAATAATTAATGAATAGGGAAAAGTTTATATAGAGCCGAGGCTCTAAACAATCAAATCGGAACCTACCACAAAAATTTCACGAAAAAATGTTGTTTTGATGCCTAAATATATTCAAATTGATAATCTCGATATCAATATGTATGTACAAAGAGAAGAATATATGTATGTACAAAGAGAAGAATATATTTCAAGTTTTGAAAATTGTGTATTTTGTAACACATTTTTAGACCGTCAATTTTCAAAATTTTCAAGTTTTCATATATCTATTGATCTATTCTATTTTTGAAGCTTTACATTGTATAAATAAATATAAAAATAGATTTTACGACTATCACAAAGATTTTCAGTTTTTAAACCACATTTCTTGACACGATTTGAAGGTAGGCTCTGATTTGATTTTTTAAAGCCTAGGTTCAATACAAACGGTCAAAATGTAGGCAGCGTGAATGTTGGTGATTGTGAGAGCAACAAATAAGGATAGAAAGTTCTCTATATAAATAGCGATATCTATGTCACTATATTTTTTAGGAATATTTCTTAATATCATTGATAATAAGTAGTTACGTACTGAAATACATCAGGGACTTAAGGGACCAGATACAAGAAGTGATGATTCAGCAATACCACTAGGGGTTGCAATGGTCAGGTCCTACTAGACCAGGACCCAGACCCGAAATATTATTGTGCACCCAGACCCGATCGAGTCCAAAATACCCATACCTGTACCCATACCCGGAAGAAGGATTTGGACTCCGGACCCATACCTGTACCCGCTCCCAGAAATATTAAACCAGTTTTTCGGGCCTGACCCAACCCTAAACCCAACCCAATAGTATTAAATCACCCAAAACATGATTTAAAAAATAAAAAAAATCATTTAACACAGCTATCATCTCTCATCAATATGCACCTTTCTCTCTCATCATTTAACACGGCTTATTATTTCTCATCAATATACATCTCTCTAATCTAAATCAGTTCTCATCTTTACTCAAGATATACATTTCCACTTCGGAGTGGTCCAACTGTGAGTATAATAAACAAATTGGCCAATAGCAACTCAAAATTATCAACCTCAAAAACTAATTGTTTGCTAGATTTTATTCATTTCCTATCTCAAAAATATACTGTTCGTAAGATTTGAGTCTTTTCCTCCCTTCCCTGACAGCAACATGTGTTTTTTTAGTGCTTTTTTCTGTGAGGGTCTCCAACTGCTATGGTCCCATCCTTCCATATTTCCACCTCCAATCAAACAATAAGAAAGAGGAAAAAACAATGATCAATCGCATAAACAAATAGTCCACATTCAATACAACAATAACAAATAGAAAAATAACCTAATAACAATAAAGACATGCATATCTATATCGAAAACACATTGGAAGACACAACCTTTGCACCGCTATTATTTAACACATGTTGCATTCGTGTCAGAATTGGAACATGTGCATCATCGCGTAATGCACATATGGTTGAGTTGTGTTAAAATCAAACACAACCGTTAATCGAGTCTATATCATTTCCTTAGGGCCGTTTGGATAGGAAGAAATTGAGAATATTAGATATTTGAAATCCAAAAAAATCTATAGATTTTCAATATCAAGGATTTTTGTTATGGATTTCTCAAATCTTTTGTTTAGATAAACTATATAAAATTCATGAATTCTTTAGAATCACTTTCATGTCCATTGTTTAATAACAAAACTTGATAAAATTTCTCTCTCTAAAATTTTTATATACTATACATTGAAGAGAGAGGGGAGAGAGAGATGGATTGTTGGGAGCTTGAAGAAGTGATGCCATGTTGAAGATGACTTGCCTTATCTAAACTTTTAGGTGGCTTCTCTTTGACGTGATCTCTGTTCAAATCGATTAAAGATATCAAAACCCTTGGAGAATGTTGGAGTAGCACGGAGATGATGAGAGAGGAGGGTAACGAAGGGTGAAGAGAGGGTTAGGGTTTGGGGGGAGAGAGTGAGCGAGGGGTTGTGCATTGATTAGGGACACAAAGTATGAGTATCGTTGATAATTTAATTGTTTTGGATCCAAAACTTGAATTTTAGACACTATTTGGGTTGTAGATTAACCGATCAGAGAAAATGGAGAGCGGGCAAGAAGAATATGGTGATGGCGACATTCAAGTTCCTATGGTGTCTATTAGGTATGATTTATCAAGTGGTTTACTTTTAGATGCAAGTTTTCAGGTAGTGTGCTCCTTTTCTCCACCCTCAAATGAGATTTTTGGTCTTAGTGACTGGGCAAGAAGGGGTTGGGGCCTGTCTTATGCTCCGAAGGTTAGAATAATGTAAGAGATCAATGCTATATTCTTTCTACGAAATAAGGACGATGTTGTCTTGGCAATAAAAAATCGCTTTGTGAGAGTTAGAGTCAAGCTTCTATCTCTTGACCTTTGGAAGCCATCGTCCCATGTTTCTTATTTGCGAAAGAAAAGTAAGTGGATCAGATTGTCAGGTGTCCCTGTCCATGCTTGGGCATTGATCACTTTTCGTAAACTGGCTAATCTGTGTGGGGAATTTTGTGATATAGATAAGGAATTTTTAGATGGAGTTAACTTACGATATGTCAGGATTCGCGTTTGGAGTCTGTGTGGTGCAGTCATTCCAAAAAGGTTGAGGTTGCAAGTGGGTCAAGAAACGTTTTCCATCCAGGTCTCTGTTGAGCCCAAAGTTGTCAATGTGGGTCCATCGTGGGGAATATTGCTACGACCCCTTTGGTGGACAATGAAGGATGGCAGAAGGTTGGGAAACATCAATTGCGGTGTAATCTCGGT